TTCAAAAGAAGTTATTTCTTGTTGTCGCATTCTAGCTAGGCTACTACTTGCAAGTGATCTAACTAAGTTTTCTTTCGTGCACTTTCACACAGTAAAATTCCTTACCAAATTAAAGTAACACATAATTTGTTTGTAGTGATCTCTAATAAAAAAAATTTAAAATCATTCTTGTTCGACAATAATATGACCCCTCTATGTGTATTTGAAATAGAAGGGTCTTATTGAGTAATCACCTTTTCTTACTGTAACATTCTGTCATAAGGAATAAGAAAAAAATTGATTAGAACATTTGAACCAAAAAAAAATATTTACTTTCCTTTGGAATTCAAAAGGGATCAAAATTTTCTCCAAAGAAATCTCATTCAATATGGTAGTTTTCCAATTAACAAGTCAACTACTCGGAATTGATATGCTGTCAAGGATTTTGTTCAATTACCATGGAACAAAACTCTCTAATAGATTTACCTCGATCAATTCATAATCAAATTTAGAGATCACATAAATACTTCACATGTTCTAAATTAAGATCTCCTTCTTTCCTTAAGTCGTTGGTTCATTCTTTCTCTATCCATTGATATGATTTTGAAACTAATGGTAATTTCAAGTAATCCAAATTAGATTGTCTTCTTCCAATTTCACTATAACTTTCCTAGTACAAGGATTGAGAATCATTCTCTAGAACCTTTATATAAGCTTTTTCAAAGCATAAAAGATTTTCATCAACGAATTCAAAATCTGTAAAGAAAAGTTACTTGAGTGTGTTTAACTGCTAAGTTGTGACACCACTTAATTTTATTGAATCTAGAGACATAGGCCTCTATATCACAAAAACTTGAAGCAAAAAAATCTTTGTACTTTCTCATGTAACTTTAACTTAATTTTGTAGTTAGCCATTTTTATGACTAAGATTTACACGCTTATAGTAAAATTCATAGCTCGCTGTGGAAAAATTAAAATCACATGTCGTTTGATTTTTTCCAAACTAGAAACATAAAACTATACATAGCAAAGATTTGTAGCCAAATTCCTTTTGCAATGATATAGTTTTTCATTTATTTATTATTGAACTCAACTTCAGATTTTTCATCTTTTGATTTCTCCAATTTTGTTTTACCAAAGTAACCTCTGTTTTTTTTTATCAGAACAACGTTGTGCGATCTTGATTTCCAACAGCAACAACAAATTTAGTGATAGAGAGATGCCATACCCTTTTCTTGATAATAAGAAAAATCAATGTGTCAAAGTTCTCGTCTTGAAAGCTCATCTTTCGGTCATTGGCGGCTTCCCGCTTATTAGAAAGATGTTGGGCATTCCCCTTCATTTCCCAGAATAATTGACAACAGAAATGAAGGATGTCAATAACTGTAATTTTTAAGCGAGAAAAGAGTCTCAATACTTGTCTTGGGCAACGAGGCATTCTCAAACTAATAGCCAAGTCACACATGGCTAATGCAATTAAATTAGTTGGTCTAACGTCTTTTTGAAATACAAAAAGCTTTTCGGTTCAAACTTCCTCACATAGTGTTTGGGGAATTTTTTATTTTTTTATCACAGTTGATTCAAAAAATGGAGGGACTATCTACATTGGGTAAAAATATTTAGCTTGTACATACATGGTAGGACGAATGATAGACACATGACATATATAATGAATAAAGGATATTCAAAAGGCTCTTTGATGGAATGATAGGTTTGGAGGTGTGTTTGATGAATCTCAACCCCGACTTGTTACCGAAATCATAAAATGACCATCCTCGGGAAAAAGCCAGAAACTTGTTTCCCAAGGATAGGAAAGGATTGTGTGCCGATGATGTGGCAAAAGGACAGATACACTAGATATATTTGTATGTTATCCCGTAAATAAAATAGAGATATTAGTTAGTATAACTAACAGTATTTCCACGTGGAATGAGGCAATTGGATATAGTACTTTAGGGCTCAAGTGGAACTTTTCTTTTGATTGATGTAGTACTTTTGTTACCTATAAATAGTAGTACACAACTGTACATTGGACACTAAACAATACTAATGAAATATATTAATATTCTTATGCTCTAAGCTTTCTATATTTTATGTCTTTCCTACATAGCTTTTACATTTTGAAACATCCCTGGATCTCAGACCCATCACACTCAAACTTTCTTGGTTAAAGAGAAAACCTATAGTATCAGAGCTCTATTGCTTGATACGACTTTCTCTATTTTCTTTACTGTCTTCATTCTATATTTAATTAACTTATAAGTGAATGTAATTAACTGCTAATAATCGAATCTACGAGTAACTAAATCGATATGTGTCCTTGATTCCTCCTCGCAATTTCTTATACTTTTAAATTTTGCAGCTTTAAAAAGATAATAGGAATATTGATCACAAAAAATTTAAAGGGTAATGTTATATGGCCAAAAATTTGGCCAGAATTTAGCCAGAAATTTAAAGTCTATAATATTCTTTTTATTTTAAAATAAACTGATTTTTTTTTTATTTTTTAATTAAAAAGTATTAAAGTTAAAAGGGTAAAAATGTTCAAAATAAAATAAAATAACATAATGTGAAATATGTTATTTATCATTTTGGCCATTTTCTGACCAATTTTTCTGGCCAAAAGGTAAAAATGAAGATGCATGTCAGACGCGTGAAAAATAGGTTCAAACTAAGTGGTTGCACTCATTTATGAACTTATTAATAATACTGTGAGGAGTAATTAAATGGAATCTATGAAGTTGGTGGTTCTTGGTCTTGCTAACAATTACACACTCATTTGAAAAGGTGTAGTTCTCTTCTTTTAAAAGTTATGAAACTATAACGTATTTTTTTTTTTATTCCAAAATAACGTACGTTTGGAGTCAAGGGGTATTTATTTGTGTTTGGTTAATAATCAATTTAAATCGAAATTGAATTAAATTAATTATATAAATTATTTTTTATTTTGTTTTGATTTCGATTTAATTCTTTTTACATTGATAATATTTAATTTGATTTGGTTTATTAAAAACAAACTAAACAGAAAATGGAATCAAATCGATACTTATATACACAAATTTTATATAATTTTATGTATACAATATGTTGTTTTTTATAAATCATTTAAATACTTTGTATATTTTTTCATGAAAATTTTATTTATTCTTAATAGGCTAATGAATTTTATACGTTAAGCCCTCATTTATTAAAAATAAGTCATGAATTCAAACTCATTAGTTTATTCAAAGAAACGTCTATGAGATTTACCTATATATATTAAATGTATTTCTTATCAACTTTATTCAATTGATGATTAAAGTTTATACAACTTAAGATTATTTTTTTTCGTGATTCGAGAAAATGATAGCCACCACAATAAAAGATTAATAACGAATTATAGGTTGGAAAACATTTGCAACACCTCTACCTCTATATTTACTGCCTCCATCTTATAGCTTTTTCTACCTTATTTACCATCTCCAATGGAATAATAAACAATCTCAATACAATGATTGATATGTATAAAATTCTAAAAAGATAATACAGTAATGATAGTCAAAATTTTCTATTTTAACAAAATGGAAGAAGTTAAAGACCAAATCTTGAACTCAAATTCCAAGACTTGAAAAAATTGAGGTTTTTCTTTTAAAGCTCAAAAACTTATATTTTATTTAGAGCCATGTGTCATTTTGTTGGTGGCTTATAAGGCCATTTCACCAGTGTGTGAACTGCACACAAATTATATTTTTGACAATTGTTCCTATACTGATGTTGGAGACTTGGAGGGTTTGAAAGGAAAAAGCATTAGTTAAAGTGTAAAAAAATGAAAATTAGGGTCAAGTATAAGAGTTTGTATATGTATTTGCCCAATGGAAAATGAACACAACTTACTTAATATGATATAATTGGAGTTATAAAAAATAATTATTCTTATTTTTAATCAAAGGCATGAGTGGAAAAATTCAACAAATATATTTATCCTCATTTTGAAATTTCATAAAAAATAAATGCATAACGAAATTTTATTCATAATTTAATTTGTCTTTTAGTAATAATTATAATTTAATAAACTTAGTTATAGCTATACCTCATAGAGTATGTAAATATAATTTTTTTTATAATATGGGGGATGTTAGTGTTTAATTCTAAAGTACATAGAATGTATCCAAAATAGGGTCATATTACATAAATATTTAGTGTAATTAACCCTATATAATAGAAGATACATGGTAATGAGACAAGGTGGATGTAGGGTATGGAAGTAGTTCTCCTTTTGTAATATTTTTATGGTTAAAGGACGAATATAATGTTTAAGAGGTACGTAGTTGAAATAATTGATATAGATTGGGATTAATTTGAGATGTTTGTCAAGAAAAATAAATAATATATGCTCCTCTTTTAGTGAAAAATATAAATTAGTAGTGTACTTTTCTTGGAGAAAACATTTCAATAATTATTGTAATCGCACCATTGAAATTCTTTTGCTCTACTTCTATACTTGCTTGAGTTTACTCCTTATATATCTAGCAAGGTTTCACGTGAGCCAAGAATCTATAATAAATATATCTTTTTAATTTTCACAAGGTAAAAATAAAACTACGTAAATATTATCCTTTTCATTCTTTATTTGTAATTGTAAAATTACAATGAATTTGTTGTTGTGGCTAGTTCACCTTTCTTCACCTTCAAGTTGCAAGCTTGCTAGAGTATATATCTAGAAGAGTTGTTACGTTTTTTCTTTTCCAGCCATAGTTTTAAGTATGGCAAAATCAAACGTCTTGAAGCAAAAAAAATAAAAAGAAACAACGTGAGAGAAAAAAAGCATTGAACTTTGAACACCCGACTTAAAAAGAAAGAAGTTCAACAAATTACATTACATTAAACACGTAAAAAATCACATAACATTACACTATGAATGAAACCAAACACCAACAACAACAAAAAGAAAAGAAAAATCACTCTTTTCTCACAGTACTAGCCATAATACTAACCAAACAATATGCATGACATGACAAATTAAACTTGAACTAATATTAATATAATCATCATGGAAGTGGAAGACTTCCTGCACCACCACCAGCACCACCACCAACACCGCCACCAATACCACCTAGTCCACCTATACCACCTAGTCCTCCTACTCCACCTATTCCACCTAGTCCACCACCCCCAATTCCTCCACCAAATCCAGCTCCACCACCAATTCCAGCACCAAATCCACCAACATTGCCACCTACTCCACTAACAACTCCTCCAAAAGGCAGTCCATTGCTTCCAATGCCACCGATACCTCCAGCGCCTACAAAAACATTCTTTTGGTCAGAAAGACCATTGTCACTTGGCATTTCTCTTGATGCTGTGGTATGTACCACTACCAAAGCAAGGCAAAGGATAACTATGGACAACTTGTTTGCCATCACTTCCTAGTCTCTCTTGTTTTTCTCTTTATCCTATATATTCCTTTACACCTGATGAGTGATGAGTAGTGATGAAGTGGTATTTCCTTGAGTCTCTTTTTATAGGCAAAAAATGGGTTGGTGGAGGAATGAATACAAACATTCAATGTCTCTCTCCTTTATTTATTTTTTGGAGAAACCCTTTGGTTGGTTTGCCAATGAAAAAATATGTTTTCCCTCCTTTATTTTTTTTTTTGAAAATAACTCATTTTTTTAACTAGTTTTTTTTTTTTTTTTATGTTTGATGGTTAGAGGAAGAGAACATTATTCCAAAAGTATATATATATATATATTGTTGGGTTTTTAAAAGGTGTGAATGGAAAATGAAGAGTTGCGACTTTTATGAAGAGTTGTGACTTTGATGAAAAATTGCGACTTTTATGAAGAGTTGTGACTTTTATGAAAAGTTGCGACATTTATGAAAAGTTGTGACTTTTATGAAAGGTGGTGACCTTTCTGAAAGATTGTGACTTTTCCAATGGTTTGTGACCTTTCCGGTAAGGCACAATAAGAACCTTTTCACACTATCCTTTGTTTTCTATAAATTGAGGGATTTCCTTTCATTTTAAGAACGAATTTCTGAACTTCTTCTTCTACTACTAAATCTAGTATTTTAAGTGTATTTTACTGCCGTTGAGTGGCTCGCTGACACCAGCGTTTTGGGTATCAATACACTGGTGATTGAGATCATTCTATCCTGGGAGGACATATTCCAAATCAAACCTCGGATACTAGAGGGGAATAATTTCCTTAAGGGGACACTGTGCATTCAGTGGGCTTGATCTTCTTTATGTTTTTTCCAGATTTTGGTATGTGTTACAGATTTTAGATTTGTGAATTAATTTATGTTCTTCTGTTCTTCACTGGTTCATTAAACTTTGGTAACTTCGTATTTCTGCAAAGTTTGTTGGAATCAGTAAGATTCTTTAAACACAGATTGACAACAATTCTTCTTTAAGAAAAAAAAATAGTTTGTATATTTTTTCTAATATGTTTCTAATTCTAGTTTCTCTACAAGTTTTAATTTTCCAGTTGTGAAAATGTTCTTAAACTTTATTGTGTCTTACCAAGTTTTTCAAAGTTTTGTTCTAAGTATCTTAGGAATACAAGATGAACAACAATCTTAAGGAAATTATTATACTGTTGGTATTTCTTGTATTCTACTGTTTGAGAGAAACAGATCATGGAAGTAGAAGATTAATGCATTACTTCTCCAGAATTCGATGCTTTGTTTAGCAAGGTCGAAGTGAGAATGTACAGGAAAAAAAAATTGGTGCTATTCTGGTTAAAGATTGCACCAGGTAACCTTCTTATTATTTATCTAAGGAGGAAGATAGTTTCTAAGAGTTAACAATTTTGATTTTTTTTATCATGTGTATCTTTGAAAAAAGATCTGCAAACCACTTGTTGTTGAATGAATTTTGCTTGGCAAATAGTGTTGCCTTTAAAATTCTTTAGTTTGCAAAATGAGAGATGCACATTTTTGTTTGATAAAATAGTATGTCAAAATGTTATAGTTGGAAGACTATTTGAAAAGAAAAACATTTCTATGTGATAAAGAATATGCTTAATTTTGTTTGGAGACCAAAAAAAAAAAAAAACTTTTGTAGTTTTGAACTCCATGTGAAATTTGATTGTTTGATTTTTGTAGACTAAAAACTTTTGTAGTTTACTACTCTGGATAAATCAGACTATGCAATTGGTTTGAAAAATATGAAAACTTCACATAATAAGTCAATGTTGTACTTTTGACTTTCTATAAACTTTATTGTTATATAGAAACAAATTGTACAAATCTTTTTTGTCTTTATTGTTAGTATTCTAAATACTAAGTGGTATGTCTATTTGTGATAGATGGAAAAATACCATAGAATTGAAGCAATATAATTCTTTTGTAGAATAACATTTTCAAAAGAGGTTTCATAGTGCCAATGACATTTTGATAGTCTGGGAAAATATGTGAAAAAATTATTTTTAAATACTTGAAAAATATTGTTGAGATCACATTTAAAATGTGGGGGTTCTTTGCTTATGATAAAGATAAAATTAGACTTGGTGTCTAATTTAATTTTGGAGAAAAAGATATGAAATTCAATGATACTTTTGTATTATGTTAGACCCACAAAATTCTTGGAGTATATTTTGTATTGTGGTTGTTGAGTTTCTCTATTACTAGTATATGGTGTGACTAGAATGAAACTACCAAATTCTATATATACTTGTTCAAAATAATTGTGTTCTTTTATGAAAAAGTGTCACTTAAAATGTTGTGATTTTTCATGAAAAGATATGTCTAATATAATAAAAGTATTTGCATAGACATGACTATTGGTGAATAGTCATTTGTTATGTTCTGTAAAAGAAACATTTGGACTATATTGCGTTTATTGGACCCGATGAAACTTTGTTCATGGGTATTTCTATAACAATCAAATTGAAAGTTATGGAAAGTTCCTTCTGAAAAGGACATTTGACAAGGTGATGACTCTAAACAATGTTTGTATCACACAAAATTGTAAGAAATAGGAACAAAATATTAGAGAAAAAAAAGCTACCTCGCGAAGAGCTTTTCAAACTCAATATTTTTATTTGTTCTTACTTGCTTGAGTCAATGTTTGTGACATGAACACTTGGGGCATGTCAATTACAAAACCTTGTAAGGAAAACTGATGAACTTAATTAGAAGTTTTGTCTAACTTTGAGTGCAATAAATAAAAATGTCATGTTTGTGTGGAGTCTAAGTATGCTGAGCATTCTTATAAATTTGTTGAAAGGAATTCTAATCCATTAGAGTTGATTTACACTGACATTTGCAATATGAAGTCAACACCATCTCGTGGTGGAAAAAAGTATCTCATAACTTTCATTGACAATTGCATTAGAAATGATTATGTCTATTTGTTGAATGGTAAGGATGAAGCAATAGAAATGTTTAGACAATATAATATCGAAGTTGAAAATCAGTTGGGAAAAAAATAAGAAATGATAAGAATGGAGAGTATAAATCTGCTTGTGCAGAATTATGTTTGGAAAGTGGAATTATCCATCAAATTGCTGCCCTATTCACCTCAATCTAATGAAAAATCGAACGTTGAAAGAAATGATGGATGCACTATTTATAAGTTCGGGTTTACTACAAATCTTGTGTGGAGGAACTATCCTTACTGCAAAAGGGAACGACAAAAAGTTTTGTCTTTTTAGAAAGAAAGCAATTTTGTTTGTTCAGGACACAATCTATTCCATATAAGAAATGGAAAAGAAGGAAATCCAACTTGAAATATTTCAATGTGTGGGGGTGTCTAGCCAAAGTCCAAGTTCCTATTTCTAAAAGGATTAAAATAGGACTTATGACTGTGGACTGTAAAATTAGACTTGAGTAGTCTAGTGAAGGGTCTAAAAGACTTTGGAAAGAAAAAAAGAGAATGTACTTAATAGAGAGATTCAGAGGCGTAGTAAATGTCAAAGGACATTTACTTCCTTCGAATATGATTTTGTAACATTTCTTGTGTCTTCTGTAGACTCATCCTTTTGGAAAGATGGTGTCAATAGTGAGATTGATGAAATCTTGAGCAACCATATTGGAAGTTAATTGATCTTCTTCTAGAAAATAAACCTTTGGGTTCAAAGTGAATCTCAGAAGGAAAATGAAAGTCGATGGAATTGTTGACAAATATAAAGCAAGACTTTGTGTCAAAGGCTTTAGACAAAAACAAGGTCTTGAGCTTGTTGATATATACTCGTCAAGTAACAAGAATTACATCCATTCGGATGCTAATATTATTAGTTGTGGCATATGACCTCCAAATTCATCAAATGAATGTGAAAACAACTTTCTTAAATGGAGAATTGGAGGAGGAAATTTACATGGAACAGCTCAAGGGTTTTTTTTGGTTCCTGGTAAAGAAAAGAAAGTGTGCGAACTTGTTAAGTCACTTTACGGACTAAAACAAACATCCAAACAATGACATAAGAAATTTGACCAAACTATGTTGGTAAATGGATTTAAGAATGAAGAAAGTGATAAATATGTTTACATTAAAATCATAAGGTCATTGTTTGTTTGTATATTGGTGATATGTTGATCATCAGTAGAGACTCTAATGACATAAATGCTACTAAACATATGCTAGAAAGAAACTTTGATATAAAAGATCGTGGAGTTGCTGATGTGATCTTAGGCATAAGAATCCTTAGAACTCCAAGATGTTTAGCATTGTCACAGTCTCATTACATTGAAAAGGTACTTGACTAGTTCAAATATTTGAATTTTAATATTGTCAAGACTCCAATAATGTGAGCTTTGCACTTCAAAAGAATGAAGGTGAAAGTGACTCACAATTGGATTATACTAGAGTATTGGGAAGTATGATGTATATCAAAAAGTGTACGCGATCAGATATAGCATGTGCTATTAATAAACTGAGTCGATTCACAAATAATCCCAATTAAACTCATTGGATGACAATGAAAAGAGTTTTGGGGTATTTAAAGGTAAAACATACTCAAAACTATATCTTGCATTATACAAATATCCTACGGTATTGAAAGGATATAGTGATGCAAATTGAATCACCGGGATCAAATAAAGTAAAATCCACGAGTGGATATGTATTTACTCTTGGTGGAGGAGCAGTCTCTTGGAAATTTTCCAAAAAAAAGAAGACATATATTG